CCGTCGGCGCGCCGTGCGCTGGCTGATTGATCGCTGCGAATTAAAGGGCGCCATCGCGGAAACTCGAGCCAGCGTTTTTTTTTTTCTTTTTTCGTCTTTCTCGCTCGCGCAGCGGCTTGGGCTGTCACTCGCCAAGCGTTTGGCGCGAAACGAGCGTTTTCCACGAGTCGCGAGCGAGGGACGCGATTTGTCAAGGTTCCAATTTTTCGACGGCGACGACGATTGACAAGGACGAAAGCCATTTCCGCGCGTGCCGCGTTTCTTTTTCTCCACGCGACCTTGCATTATCTTCGCTAACGTATTCTCTCATCATCTTTCCATTTTTTTCCCCGCGTGTGATTTATGTATTTGCGTTATTGCGCGCCAAAGTCGGAACTCGTTTCTTTTAAGCGCGTTTCAAATACGCGCATTCTCCTTCCTCGCCTTTTTGTCGAGCTTTTATCGGAAATCACAGCCGCCAGTCGCGTGTTCGCGCAATTTGTTCCCGGACTACCTTTGAAAGTAATTCCTGGGCTTTCTGTAATTGAAGTTGCTTATTTCGCCGGTTTTTCCGAGCCGAGGCCTACCGTAAATCAACGTCGTTCTCTGTCAGTCCGCGAAGGCAAACATTTTGCGAACCGGGTTTTTGTTTTCTTTATCCTTTCGCGAAAACTTGCCGCGAGCATCAGGTCGAAGAGACGGCGCGGGCGCGCAATCGCGGCAGCGTTGCTGTAACAATCGTTGAAATAATAAGGTGCTACAAGCCGAGGATGGAGAGTGAGTTGAACGTTTTATTCGAGCATAAAACAAGAAAGAGAGTCAGGCGAGCTTTGCGCATCGGACGTGCTCTTGTCTGCAAGCGAGGCGAGCGTAAATCTAGTCGGATGCGAGTGCTGGAAGCGCTGGGAGGGAGAAAGGTGCGACATATCTTATCGTAAACGTCTCATAACGCGGGCCGCAGTAACGACGCGTGACACACGACGACGTATATAAAGCCTCTCTGCTGGCCGTGCGACGTTGAAGCGAACGAGCGAGCTCGTAAAGTGTGCGCCGCGATGCCTCTCTCTCTCGCTCTCTGTATGTGTGCGTATGTGTACATTCCCTTTTTCCGCGCAAGAGGAGCAGTAGAAGGCGGAGGGCATGCTCATTTGTGAGTTTGGTCGCGATGCGAGCCGACGCTGTCACAATCACGCCACGGCCATAAAGTAAACATCCGACACATCAAAGGGCCGCCCCGTTCGTGTGCTCGCAGCTTTATTTCACTCAACCTCTCCTCCCATCTTCCTTTTTCTGCCCTGTCTCTCGCCTGCGCGTTCGCTCTGCTGGACCTGTCGGATTACCCACGTCGCTCGCGATCTCACTCTTCTTCTGCCTAACCCTTTCTTTTTTCCTGCCCTTTTTTCACATTGCCTCTCTCGCTCTCTCTCTCTCTCTCTCTCTCTCTCTCTCTCTCTCTCTCTCTCTCTCTCTCTCTCTCTCTCCATTCGCTTCATTCGTTAATCCGTTTACCGCCAATCGCTTATAGCTGCTTATGTGTCTGCGTGTGTACGATCATCGTTTCTCCTTTGCCAATTTTTTCGCTTGCAGATGATTATATATGATTTGCCCCTTTTTCGGCCTTGGCTCTTTTAAAATTCCATATTTTTCCATAATTTTTATTTATTCGGGCTACCATCTCCTCGATAAAAAACCTTGTAATAAATATCTCATGTTTTTTCGGATGATATCCTGACAGCTGAAGGTAATGTTTTTAAAACTATGTTTTGTTATGATTTCTAACATTTTTTTTGGTCCCGTATTTTCCGCAGCTTTTGAAATTAATTGAACATTTTCATTCGGAAATGAACAATTAATTTTTTATAGAAATACCGTAATATTTCACGTTTTCAATACATATTAACATTTTATACAAAGGTAACTAACAAATTTTGATACTGGTAGTTCTTTATGAATTTCGAAACAATAATTTATTTTATATGAATTCATTTTACTATAATCATAGCCGTTAATTGATTCACGAACAAAAAGAAAAGTTAAAGTCGAAACATAAACAGTAAGCAAAAGTGTGTCATCACGGTTCACGAAGTATAATACGCAAATCAAGATTTGCCTGTCGACGCTCGCGAATTCGTCAAGGGAAATTCGATGCAAAGTGAGCGCGCAAACGTCGCGTCATGACATTTCGCTTTAGCGGCAGCACAAAGTGATGTGGTGGTGGTAGTAGTAGTAGTAGTCCTACTACTACTAGTAGTACTAGTCTTACTACTACTACTACTACTAGTAGTAGTAGTAGTAGTAGGTAGGTTGACGGTCCGTTGCACGGCAGATCTCCTTTTCCGTCGTCGTCGTTACGTCCGCGCACACGACAACGCTATCATCGTCGCTCGCTCGCAAGAGAAGCTTGACACGCCGACGCGTAAAACGAGTTCGCGCGCATTTACGCCACGTCGACGGGCTGTCACTCTATGCGACGGTTCTCCCTACATTTCCAAGCTTGAATTTGTGCCCCTGAAGTCACCGACTTTTTTTACCCTGCTCTCGACGTCTCTCTGACAGATAATACGAATTTGCAACTACTTGCCTTTTTTTTTGTTAGTGCAATCTAATATACAGACTTTTCTGCAAATCTCTATAAAACTAAACCATTTTTTAAATGTATTTTCTTCATTAACCTTTTTGGAAAATATACTCGATTTTCACGAAGGGAAATAATCCAACTTCTGATATATACGAAAATCTCTAAATTTAATTGATCATGAGTCAGACGAATCCTCAGAAACATACCTAACTCGAAAAAACAGCTTTTTTATCTTCACATAATTGAAGGAAGTATATCCCTTAAAAGAAATACTCGTAAAGCTACCTCCGAAAATAGCTGGATCACAGTAAAACGGCTCCTCCCTAATGATTCATAGGAAGCTATCAGCCGACCTTGGTCTTGCTTTCACGAGGTCATCAGCGCATTTATATACTCGCACGTCCTTCAATCTCGTTCGCGTCGCGTCTTAAGATATCCATCGAGGAGTATAGTGCTCTTAAAAGGTATATGGGCGCATCGGCGCCACAGGGGGAAATTACACTACAGACACGATGGTCCTTTTCGGAACAAAATAGCCTTTAATGCATACCATGTAGGATGATAAAGTACCCAAGGGTTGTGCGCGCTCCTATTTATTATAGAGCCCTAGAGCGACAAACCCGCACAAGATGACTTCCGACAATTAGGCTAGACGCGCGTGTTTGCACGGCGGCGCCTTCTGATCTGTCCGCTACGACTTTCTCACGAAAATTAAAAATGCGTTTTTCCTTTGGAGACTAATGCGTGTTAGAGTGACTAAGTGTTTTAACAAGTCTCGTTATGTCGAAATTTTCGGCTCGTTCCGAAAGCTAATTACGATGTCTTTTCAGCTTTGTTTTTTTTTTCAAACGAACGTTTTCCCGATTGACGGACGTTGCTTCGAAATGATCACTTGTTTTCTTTCTGCTTGCCTTTCCGGAACTCACAAGTTTCTTGTAATAATGTTGTCGAAGAATGCGGGACAATGTTGTGTTTGAGCTAATTACATGACAAACTGTATTTATTTATTTGTTTTATTTATTTATTTATTTATTTTTTTTTTTTGAAAACAAACATAAATTATATTTAACGAGGAAGAATTTTTGTTACTTTAGTTATTCAAATTGTCTTGACAATCACGCCTCTTATAATTCACTCTTAGTATATCGAAGATTATTATCGATGGAGATTTTTCTTCATTCGCAGGAAAAAAATAAGAAGAAGCGAATGATTCCCAGCGAAGATTTATTTACTCAGACATCTAGGCCAAAGTCATAAATTTCATTCACCGAATTGCAAATGTACTTCTTTTTGTTTCTTAACGAGTTATATAATCTTTCGTTCCCAGATATCACGAGCGCGGACACGTAAACCGTACAATCCTGTCTCAACACGAACTCATCAAGAATGAGCGAAAAGCAATAAACTTTGCGATTTGCAAATAAACAAGACGTGAACTTTTTGCTTTTTCATTCAAACGTTTAAAGAATGGAATATATGAGCGGGAGCGGATGTGCTCATTCGTATTGCACACATTCGTAAATAAAAGTGTTTTATTGCTCCAAGTCAAGTTTTATGTTGATATTTGCTCAACAGATAGACGGGCGAGCAAGAGAAAGAATGAATCAAGTGTGATTCTTGAAAAAAAATAGACTTTATGAGTTCGGAATAATTCTTTAGCGTGAATAATTGGATTATGATATATTTTATTGCTAATAATCTTGGCAAGTATTCTTTTATTTCAAATTTTTGAAATTTATGTTTTTCATAAATTCATAATAATTCATTCGGAACACTGAGATGTGCTAATTAATCTTAGGAATAACTCGTTTTCAACAATTAATGATTTCCTGAAAAGGAATTTTTAGGTATATGACTTAACTTGTATATTAAGTTTGTTTCCTATTACGTAACCCATATCATAACTATAATATATTATAGTATTACTGTTGACCACTAGGAATCAATATATATTTCAATCATATAGTCTTTGAGAATTATCTGATATTATAAGTATACAACATCTTTTTCAAAGATTCATCAATATTTCGCTTGATATTAAAAAGTACTGATTGATAAAGTTTATTAATTCCATGCCTAATTTCGTTGTTAGAGTAAGCTTCAAAGAATAACTAGATTTTTCTCATTTTAACATAATTTGATATATGAGAAGTTATTAATATTCAAAGTTAACAAAAATGTCAGCTCTTTTTATGTAAATTTTATGGTAAAGTTAGTTGGGAGTCTTTCTTCTTAAAATCAACCAAAATTTGCTAATGCTACAAAGTATAATTAACTATGATAAATATGGAAATATCCATTTAGGTCTCTTTCAATATGTATTCCATCAAAACTCTTATCACGAGAAAATTTAATGAATTTAAAAGAATTTTAGTGTATCGATGACCAGAAAAATTTTATTTGTGCAAAAAAATGAGCCTATTCATCAGCAGGAGTTAAAAAACAATTCTATTCTTCTTAAAATTGAGTCATTTGTTCATTGATCCAGTCAAGGAATTTAAAAACTCTTGTATAAACATCAGGTGCTCCTCGAGCACACGGTCGACCAAAAGAAACGACGCCAATTTGAACACCATCAGAAACAAGTGGACCGCCAGAGTCGCCCTGAACATAAAAATAGTCGTTAATTACAAGATAGACTCGCTATTTTCACACAGCAAATCGTCGTACATTACATGCTCCTTCGCCAGATTGTGTGAGAGTGCAAATATGCGATTCGGTGGTTACGATAGGGAAGATCAACTTAAGTTGGCATTTTGGAATACTAATAACTTTTAGAGTGATCTCTTGCAAGTTGTTTGGCAACGGACCTCCAGTCTACAAGAGAAGTACACTGATATGTAAAACAATTTTTCATAAATAACTAAAATTAAGTTTGAAATCTTACGCTAGTTCGACCCCATCCAGTCAACACAGCTGGATAATCAGCTTTGTTGAAGTCTTCAGTGGGCAAGCTGATCGGGCGAACTTTGTCGTTGAACTGAATATCACGGTCGACGCGAATCAGAGCAATGTCGTTTCGCAAAACGAGCATATTGAAGCCATTGTGCCAAACGATATACTCGGATTGATAAGTTTGTCCATCGGTACTGTTCAACAAAACAGTACCAGCCACAACTGTCACGTCGGTATGTTCACGACTGTAGTTGAAACATTTATTAGAAAACAAGCGTGTAGTTGGTCACCTAACGAAAGAGTAATATTTACACACTTTTGCACACAATGAGCAGCGGTGAGGATCCATCGACTGTTCAATATCGAGCCACCACAAAAGTGAGTTGGACGACGGAGTGACACTTGATATGGGTATGCGCCTTCCGAGGCATCCTTACCACCGACGATTCGTGGAGTAGCTAATATTGTTTAAACGATTATTCAGTCGTGTTTTATAAAAATAGCAGACAACCGAGACGAAGAGAAATGAGAAATAATTAAATATTTACCATAAGCTGCAACCGCGAGGCACAGAACAAGCAAACCTACGATTATCTTCATTGTTAGAAAAAAATTGGTTGACTGATACAGGTACATATCGTATCGTTTATTTATATACAATCACGGAAGAGTGGCAATCATTGATTGTTGCATTGAATTTATCGGTACATCGATAATGAAAAATTCGAGCGCAGATAACAATAGTTAAAGCCAATTCGACATATCCAATCACATTGATCTATCAAACAAACGCATAAAATCGATACATCGTAAATTGATGTTTTATTGCGATATTGTACGCTGCATTCTTCAAAGTACAAATAAGCACCCGTGGATTACCGAAATATACTCAATTTAATAAGATGTTGAAATTTAACGGAATATTGAATTGCTAATTAGTGCAGTGCACATTTGGCCAAAATAAAATACAATTATATATTCTGCAAAAAGATTATTCATTGTCTTCCTCTTTTGTTGTTGTAGTTGTTCGATTTTCAAGCCGTAAATCATAGAACAAAGTACTATTATCGTATCAAGTTTTTCCAGATATCACAAGCACATAGTATACAGTTTATAGTCAATGTCGTAAAACGTGAATTATGATTTCCAGGAAGAGTTTTCAAATACAAAAAAAGAACGCGTACAAGAACATCTAATTGTTTTCCCCTCTCCCCAGCATATATGCAGTCAAGCAACGTGACATGCAGGTATCATAAAGCACATCATATATATAGTTTTGATACCAATCGTAAATAATACTTGGCGCTCATAGACATAATAATGCGACAATGACACAATACGCTGCTGCTTCCTTCTCCCCTCCTCTCCCTATCCTCGTCGCAATTCATCTCGCTTATCTTACCGGCACGCGTTATATATGTTTGCCTTTTGTTTTTTTCCCCTATTTGTTATTTGTCGATCGATGCGCAAATAATTTTATTCCGTAGAAACGAAAAAAGGGAAGAATCGCGTGTAGTGTTGTCCTTGATACAATTTGCGCGCAGATTAACTGAAAATGATACAAATCAAATCTTGACGGGTACAATTTTTAACTCTTACGATTTCTGTTTTTAACCTTCTGTCAATAAAATTCCCCTTCGCTAGATCAACAATGTGATGTATGATAAAATGTAATTGTGCCGTAAGAAAAAAGTGAGAAATATATATCTGACAGCGCGCTATTTGCAGTGATTAGCGAATTGTGCGCCGTTGCTTTTTAGTTAAATGGTAAATTTGTATTTCAAAGAAGCTTACATTCATTAGCCATCTACTTTGACTGATTGAACAAAAAGGAAAGTAATTTGAATTTGCTCGATCAAACAAAACATCATCGTTAAACATTACGCGTGTTAATGTTTAATGATGAGGTAAAATAAACAACAACAGCAGTAAAATTATCATTGCAAATCAACATGAGACGTTCGTCATTGAGTTAAGCGCAAGCATGACCGATAAGCGCGAAAACAAAGTCTTTCGTTGCTGCGCATTATCAAAATCACTTCGTTTGCAATCGCATGAACGGCTTTGCGCGCAAGTACGTGCGAGACAAATGTGATTATAACCGTGAATGTAAATCAACGACGAAAATCCAGTAAATCATCGTCAAAAAGAAGCCAGCTCGGTTAATTTTCGACAGCGCTCACTTTCATTCAGCTTGCTCCTTTTGCAAAGCTGCAAGACGCGCTGCTCCACTTTAATTTACGCGCACTTTAAATTATCTACCTACGGCACTTCTGCCGCTCGGGGGGACAAAAAAAAAATACGAAAGAATATGCGGCCCCGTCCAACTCTTAAATCACCTCCCAAATAATTCTCTGGCTGCGGCGCGACAGTTGAAAAGGCTCATTACTCCGTCGGGCGCGAAAAGGCGTTAAATCATCGCGCGCGGACTCTGCTGCCGCCGCCGACGTCGTTTGTGTGTGTGTGTGTGTGCCTCTTCTTTTCTCGCACCAACCGCAGCGGCGTGAGCATGCACACGGTTCATAATGCGACCTTAGACATTCACTTATGCGGATAACTACACGCGCCTTCTAGGACAATGTACGGCCAGTTTGCTGCCTAGAAATAGATCACTTTTTGACTTTTTGCTATAAATCCTGAATTATATATCCCGCCGCAGCAGTCTCATTCTATCTCATTTGAATATGCTCGAAGTACACCTTGTTTTATTTCTCTCGCTGCCTTTTTTCTTACGGTAAATACAAAGTTGCGTCGTGATTTATATTGCCGTCCGTAGAATAATGCCTATTTCAACCCAATAATATCGAGCTCTTGGTTTTTCGGAATTCAGAGTGGAAAGCGAGCCCCTTGCCGACGATTTTCGCAGCGTTTGATTTATGTGCCAACGACGCGTGATCGCTCTTGAATAACAATGCTGCTGCCTATTTACGTTCAGATTTCAACGACGCAGTTTCGAGCGCAAAATTATACACACGGCTACGTTGAAAAAAAATACGTTTTATTTTCCAATGCGGCCTCCAATCACGAATTGGAAGTTGAAATATGATTTTTGAAAATGATCACAGCCCGTCGCGCAAGATTCCGTTCTTTCGTGTGCTGGCGTTAATTTGCACCGGCAGCCGACGTCGTAGTTGTACGAAGATTAATTACCGGTTGCATTAAAAGCGCATTAGCCATTCTGAAAGAAAGAATGTCGAGGCGCGCTGCCGCGAGCGAGTCCAAATAATGTCGTGCGTTCGACGGAGCTTCGACGCGCCGTTACGAGGTAATCGGCGGATGAGCGCAAAATTACGAGTAAGACGGGCGGAGAGATCAGAAGCGCGGAAGGAGCAGAGCCACTCGCCGTCGTCAGTCGATAATTCACGGCGCGGCGCGTGACGGGTCGCCGCGGCGATCGCAAAGTATGAAATAATTAGGGCCGCCTCGAAACACACTCATTCATCATAGAGCGCCTGCCGCCGCCGACGACGCCCGGACCGACCGCCCGCCCGTCCCATTCATCATGCTCGTTGTCCCTTCTGCGTTGGCTCGCGCACGCGCGCCCATTGTTTGCCGATCGCCGAGAGCTTATAAATATATGATACGCCCGCGCGCGAGCGCGCCTCATTAGCCGTCGCCCGGCGACTCCGTTCCGTGCGCTCGATTAACATCGAAGCGACGACGAGTCGCGAGCTCTCGAATTCAATCGTCGCGTCGACGGACTGCGCGATCGCCGCCGGTGATTTGCCGCGCGGCTAATTGCTCCTCTTCCTTGCGGCTGACCGCTGACTTCTTCCCCGAAGCTCGTTTTCTCTTTGCCGCGACGCTTGCTTTCTCTCTGCGAGCATTAATAATGCAACGGGCCTATTTGAATTGGCTGCTTTTGGCAGCTCGTTTGGCGGATACCTTTATGGAAGTGCGTTCGCAGCGGGAAAAGCGGGGACCGCCGCTTCGCCTGTACGTAGTTTTGTTCTCTCGGGCAAGCGGCTTGGCTCGGCTGCTGGCTGCTCCAACCTCTCCTTATTCGACCGCATAGCCTCTGAATATTTTTGCTTCGATTATTCCTTCGACGTGGAATTGGACGCCGAGCGCTCTCGACTTTTGCTTCCAAATGCGCGTTTTCTTTCCAAGTCGCTTGCAGACAATTATTTCAAGCTCACGTTGATCGTTGTTTTTGCGATAAGTCCAGTGCATTTTCGGCTTGCCTTGCTAGGCGGCGCCTATACGCTTGCAGACTTACAAGCAGAGCACGTTGTAGAGTAATCATACGAAATTTCTCCACGCGCACTCGTATCGATTCGTTCAATTGTATTCGACCAAGTACGTTACATTTCTAATATTGCTTCACGTGTAGACTAATTTAATCAAGAATTAGAATTACCCTTCAAAAATACAAAACCCAAAACACAAGAGTTTTTGAAATGAATCGTAACGACTAAATTAAGAAAAATAAGATCACACGCGACAGAAAAAAAAAGTTACCCGCATATCGTCTCTTTAGGTCTGAAATGATTTCTTCACGGCTGCGTGACATATAAATGTTGAAAGGTCCATTACAGAAGAAGCAAGAGCCTCGATAAGTCTACTACTACCACGAGAGGCGCGATGACATATATCAAGCGACTTAGTTGCTAGCAGCCGCTTTGAAGAGAAAATCACATTGGACCTCTGCTTGGTCTTTCTATTCATCGTTTACGCTCTCCCTAATCATTGGAAATGTACGACGACGGCTTTTGTAAACGGAAAGCGGACGGACGGAGGCAAGTTGCTTGGGTCATAAATAGCGGCGGGACACTTTATCTCCATATCTTCGACTACAGTGGAGAATCTCGTTGTTTCCCAAGGGGCCAGCAGTTAAAAAAAAGAAAAAAAAAACGAAATTGTCGCCGCTAAAGCAACGGCGACAGTCCCCGAAAGAGCTAATAAAAACTGAAGCTCGTCACGAGATAATACTGTTTCGCGGTTAATTTACCTCGAAATTATAGGCATTTTCAGGCATCGAGAAAGTTGTACAATATACCCCCCATCATCTCGTATTCTTCTTTTTTTTGTCCGTATACAGTGATGCAAATAGCAGCCAAGCCAGCTTTTGTTGGCACAATGGGGACCGAGGAACCCTTTTCTTCTTCTCCGCTTACCGCTGAGTGCCTGGAAATTGCGCGAAGGGTCAACTCCGTCATTGAAAGAGCCGTAATCTTTCTGGTAAAGATGCACATAAACGCGGCGTCGATTGAAGAACATAAAGCGCTGCCGTCGCCACTCGGCATTTTCGCTTATGGTTCGAAAAAGCTTTTCACGTATGTGTGCAGGAGACGGTCATAAAAGTTGTGATATTTTATCTTTATTGGTACTTTCCGTATGCTATTTATTAGTGTGTGACAGATGGTTAATGTGTACGATAGTATAATTAATGGCCAGAATAGTTTTAGCTCACAACTATATTTTTGAGAACTTCCAGTTCAAAGCGGGTAAAAATGTCAAGAAATAACTTTTAGTCGGTGAATACAGAGGTTGCAGTACACTTTTGTGATAAGATGGAACTCATCGCAAGTGAATGAGATTAGTACTGTTGCACTCGACCGGTGTTGGTAATAAAGGAACAATAATAAATCTTATTGATGCTGACCTTTCGTTAACAGATACGTTAACCTCTTTAGAAAACAATGGACCGCACTTATCGATAAAAGGCATTT